TATGATAAGGCAATCACGTGTCCTGGACTGTGCACGATAGTTCCGGATATTAGTGTAATGTCCCAGTACAAGAAATATGCCAATTTTGCAAATTTTCCAGGATTTTGTGTCGACATGAACTTGACTGATGATGTTGCATAAAGTCATGGAAATAAGTCTGTTGAGAATGGTGCATTCAGTTATCAAATATAAAAGTATTTTATAGACAAGTTTTAAGTAACAAGGGCGGTCCATAAAAATAACTAGTTTTTGAAAGAATTTTGGGGTTGCTATTCGAATTCCTTTTCGTACTTGGAAAAACAGAGCAATGAAATCAGCTATGAAAATTTAAACGGATCACTTGGGAAAAAAATTACAGAACAACGTAGGAGAAAGTTTATATTTTTAACGAACGAATGAAAGTTATCTGATAAAAATATTGAATAAATAATTGGATTTAGAAACACGTGCAACAACTGAAATTTTAAATAGTGGCTTACGTCCACCTGTGACTGAATGGATAAGACTAGTGAATACCGGTAGTTTGCCCCAGGTTCAAGTTCAAAGAGAAGAGATTAACTATACGGGATGTTTGAGGTGTTTCCATGCGCGTAAAGTGAATATGAGCCAGTTTCTCACATAAAGTCATACACGAAGCCGTCTCTCCTAAGGCAGACAGCATTCATGTGCTTTCAAATAATCCAAAAAGATAATTCAAATTTTAAGAAAAATAGACCGGAAATTATCCAATTTTCTGAGTAATCATACATATTTCACTAATTAATAACAGGAACCAACTAAGCAAAGTAAACAAAGAGATGTCTTCTTTAGTAGTATAGTTCATAACTACGTTTGCAATAGATATTATTTCTTATTTATTTTACACAAGGGAAAATTCACGAAAACAATTATGCAGTAATCCTATTTCGCCAGAAATCGAGGGAAACTAGTAATATTGAGTATGATTCTCTCCGCCACGTGAAGGGTAAAATGTAGTGAGAAAAAAAAAAAATAACATTGAAGTATAGTTGCATTTATGACACTTGACATTCGTTACACAAAAATCATTACTTAACTTCTTGAAATACAAAATCGCGGTTTTAGGTTTCAAGAAGTTAAGTATTTTACACGATTCAAAATTTGCTGTTTAAAATGCTTAGCAGCTTAATAACAGCTCAAAAAGCTTAAAAATCTGTTGGAACAAATCGATGCATTTTTTTTTTTTTTTTTTTTTTAAATCAACGATGGAAAACTTCTCGAGAAAACAATTAGGCAGAAGTTCATTTTTATAAAACTAGGAAAGACGCAAAGAAAAGTTTAATTTAATATTAGCGAAAAATAGCTGTTAATTTTCAGTGGGAGAAGAACTTCGCATTTCTTTCCTCCTCCATGCCCGTTAAATAAATTAAAAGGACACGTCCAAGAATTCATTATCTAGTAATTTGCTTTAGGAGAATGACTGAGAGCTAACTGATAATCAATGGTAACCATGACAAAGATACGCCTAATGGCTTTTTCTGGAAGGAAGTTTCAAGAAACGACAGGGGGGGTGAAAGTTTACACGGAATCGTGATCTTTGATTGAAGATTATCACTGAGAACTACAGTGAAAATAATCCATCAAGCAGACAGTATTCAAAAGCCGAAGACTACAAACAAAACAAAACAAACGAAAAAAAAAAACCGTAAGGCGATTTTTCAAACATTTCAAAATCTCTGAACTAGTGATTTATTTAACGACTCAGAAATAAGAAAAAAAAAAAGTACTGTTGAAAAACGATACATAATAAGAAGCAAACAAGTAAAAATGTGAAAGAAATGTCACTTAAAAAATCAATAGGATTAAAAAAGAAAGTTCACATTCCTATACATATTTTGTGTGTATGCGTGTATGCACACATGGCATGCAAGATACATATAGTATACACAAGGGAAAAAAAGAAACAAAAATAGCTTTTCCTCAGAATAAACTAAAATTACTGCTTCACTGCAGTTGAAATGAAGTGAAACGTTCTGCGGACACATTCAAAAACACAATCAATTATAGTAGAGGAACTATAAATTCATTAAACTGCCAGAGCAAGTGCAAGAAGAAAGAAATCTCAGACGATATACTGTTGAGCAGTTTCCACCAAGCTATCACCTCTACCGCAAATCAAGTATGTAAAAAGCTAGCGTGAACCTTTTCATTAATCCCCAGTTCCCCGTTTTATAAAAGTAAACAAAATACGTTGACCAAAAATTTATCTTAGACAGGCAACTCAAGCCTTGTGATTTAATTATAGCTAATAGTACGTGTCTGTATTCAACTTGTTGATAAAAAGAAAAGGAAAAGATTTTTCACGGAAGAAGGAGCTAATGAGCTCCCACCCAAATTTATTTACATACCACGGATTTTTAAAATCTGGTAACTAATAAAGCAGACAATAAATAACTTTCCTTCGTACTTAGTAGTGGCATGTAAAACAGCTGCACAAAACAAATACAATCACAGGGGCATTCAAATTTAAAAACTAAAAAAACTGCAATAGTAAATTCAGTTGTATTTGGTCCCACTAAATATTAATTAGCAAAGTTCACATATTTCTTTCAAAATCCTCAGTAATGTTTCAAATGGAATCTATTTTTTTTTAAAGGTAACTTTATTTTTTCTTAAAAGAAATTCTGAACATATACGATTTGTAATATAAAATGTATGGAATTAATAAAATTTTATCTTTAATGCAAAGAATACACACTGGTCTCGTCATTAATCCAGTGCCATGCACAGATGCCTGCATGCCAGTGGGCTTATTAATTATCATTACACATGAGAATAACTGTCTGGGTCATTGAACGGACATTGGTCGCTTAGAACTGTTGCACTGTCATTGCTATTTATTTTTTCTTATAAGACACTACTCCTTAATTCGATCTGCTGCAACCGCGATAAAACTGCTCAAAGTATTACTAAATTACCACCACATTTTCTTGTAGGAAGTAGATAGTAAGCTTCTGCTGATATTATCAACGCATATAGCTACCCTGGGTAGAGGAACTTCGTAAAGTTCGACTCGTCAGATAACATTACTTGTTTTCATTTATAAGCATTTTTTTTATTTATTTATTTATTTTTTTTAATTTATGATCAGCAAGAGGTTTATGCTCCTGCCTTCAACAGAATTTCAATTTTGCATTTATTTGCTGGGTTTTTTTTTTTTTTTTTTTTTTTTTTTAGAAAACAGGTCTGCCGTAAATATTTTGCTTATGCTGCTTCTTTCGTACCGTAAGCTTCGAATCTGACTTCTACAGATGCCTAAAACGCGCAGCGATAATTTTTTTCGCTTCATACCAAGACGTAATAATCTGCTTTAACATCCTTCAGGCTCTGACAGTTAAGTTTCTTCTTCCTACCATACTGGGGCCCACCAGCGGCCGAGCGGTAAAGTCGCTGAACACTGGTATCATACACGAAAATATCATAAATACACGAATCATAAATCGCAGCAGTGCTCAATCTTTAAAACATTACATCAGTTAGAACTCTCCCCATTTCCAATTGTTGAAAAGGCAACCGAAAAGCATTCGAAATTGAAATAGCTATGAATTGTAGTAGTAATGCCACATTTCATGTCAGTGGATGAACTCGCAAATGAACAAAGACTTTTATTCCAGTTTTGTAGATAAAATTTTTTAACCAAGCAGAGGTCATTCATTCTACACAGATGAACTTAACTTTCATGCAGCGATGTCCAAGACGGAAAACAAGCAGTTGACTGGCTGTAATATACTCAGAGATGTTTACTGCGTAGTTGGGGAAACTTGTACACAAAAGTAATTTATTTCTGGTCAAAATAACGCTGAAGACGCATATTCTGAATTCATATATCGTCATGGGTGTGTCATCATTTACAACTCCATGGATGCTATTTAAATTTTCATATTTTAGGTGATGATTTATATATTTTTAATGGCAACGTTGCTTGTAAAAGAAGAAAACGACTTTAGTTTTGGAAAAATGCATTTCGCTGTTTCTGTCGAAAAGGTAAAATGTAAATGCTTGGACATATTATTTAGACGTTTAAAATAAAAGGATAAATCGGGTAGATTTTATTGAATTCTTGACAACTGATGACCTGTGGACGTGATAGAAAGGTACATTTTGTTCTCGTTTGAAAATATGGATAATGTGCGCAAACAACACAAAATCGTTCGTTGTTCTTTCACTCGATTGTACAATCAAATTGTAGGTGATGTCAGTTCGGAAAAAACTGACAAAATTTTAAACAACTCAAACTATGTTTTGAAAGCTTGAAATCAAAATATGAAGAACTTCAATAGTTAAGCCATGAGTCTATCGACCTTATGATAGAAGATTACGATACTAAGGGTGAAGAGTTCGAAAATGAAAATAAGTCAGTTGATGTATATAATTCTTTAAAGTTACGAACACTTTTTACTACCGTTTTAAGGAAGTAGAGGATGATAATTCAATTTTAGATCGTGAGAATGCAACTGAAAATCCAGACTTTCGCAAATTGCCCTTGAAAAATATGATGGAAATTTAAAAAGGTGGTTATCTTTTTGGTCAATGCTCAAAATAATTGACGAGGATGGGGGTACACAAATCAGAAGATAAATTCCAGTATCTTATTCAGTGTACGTTTCAAATTCTAGAGCTAGAAATGATTGTTCAAAATTATCCAGCGATTACTGAGAATTATCCAAAAATGATTGACAGTCTCAAGACCAGGTTTGGGGAAGACGATGTTTTAGTAGAACTTTATATTGAGAATTAATTAGTTGGTAATAACGGTAAAAGTCGCAGTCGTGTTCTTTTTCATCCTAGCATGTTCAACCTAAATCGCAGTTATCAGCATTAGTTTCAATGATATTAAAGGTGAATTTATATATATGTTTTTGGACTGTTTCTTCCACTACCTTATGCTGGATTAAAGAAGACCAGTGGAGAGTTTTTGTGAAAAACAAAGTGAAAGAAATTCGCAGTTTAATAAAGACTGAGAATTGGAAGCATATTCTAACCGTTATAATCCGGCAAATCTTCCCTCCAGAGATGATTTAGCAGCCAAACTTAAGGAATCCAGAAGGTGGAAGGGCCTCCTCTTTGGTTCAGACTACCGGAAGAAGAATGGCGAAGATCCAGTTCAGTTGTAAATAAGGTAGAAGGAAACACTGGAATAAAGAAAGGTATTGTTACTTCATCAGCTTGTAAGAGCTCTGAAAATTTATGCTTCTAAAGTTATTTTTCTAGTTACAAGAAGACTAAGAATGGTAGCATGGATATTTAGATTTGTTACAAATATAAAAATTCTTAAAATGATCGAATATTCAGCGCATTAACTGTTTCTGAATTGACTTAAGGTCTGAGAAGTATATGGTTCTGAGAAGTATATGGTTTAAACAGTTTAGAAGGAAATCTTTACTTCAATAGAAAATTTCAGTTTAAAATCTCTATACGTGTTAGGCACAAAAATAAAGAAGGCATCATGCGAGTTAGAACAAAGTTTACTGAAAAAAAGGGTAATGTCAATTTCATCTATCCCATGTTCCTGCCAAATGATCACCAGCTTGTTCAGATGATCATTCGTCATTTTCATTTAAGCATGGCTCATGCTGGTATGCACATATTCTAATCTAAGTTGCAGGAAAACGTTTGGTCGTGAAAGGACGCAAGAGCATCCGGAAGGTCATTTCGGTTTGCGTCAAATGTAAAAGAAACGAGTTCACACAAACAGGTAGGGTTCCTGCACTACTGCCAGAGTACAGGGTGACAGATGCCCACGTTTTTGAAGTAACAAATGTACATTTGGCAGGTTCTGTTATTCTGAAGGACAGACGAAAGGACTGGATTATCCATTTTACATGCGCTGTGCACAGGGCTGTCAACCTTGGATTCGTAATATCTTTATCTACTAAAGGATTCTTACTTGGATAGCGGAGATTCATAGCCAGAAGATCTCTATCAAAATTTATTTACAGTGACAATGAAACTAACCTCTTCGAAATGGATAATCTCTTTAATTCAGTAGACTGGAAAATTGTTGAGGTTGATGCTTCGATCAAAAGGAATTCAGTAAAAGTTTAAGCGTCCCACAGCTGCCTGGTGGGGTGGTTTCGGGGAACGGCTTATTCAAATGATCAAGAAGCTACTGCGTCGTGCATTGGAAGAATCTTCATTGTGTTATAAAAAAATGATATGTGTGCTATGTAACTGCGAAGCAACGAACCACTGGCATATGTTTCAGAGAATTCGGGCGATCTCCATTGCTCTAACTCCAGCAATATTTCTGAACGACATTCCGTCCCAGAAAGTGTCTGACTTAGGCCACCTAGATGAAGTTAATCTGAATAAAAGGCTGAGAACAGAAAATAAGGAAGACTCCGAGAAAACGTTTCACTATCTAAGCCAGTTAATATCACATCGAGGAAAGGCAAAAAATGACCGCGAGATCAAATTTGGAGATAATGAGAAAAGAGCTGAGAGCGTAGGGTAAAGTAAAACATTTTGGCCGACGACCAAGATATAGAAGTGTAATCATGGAAGAGACAACTGCGTCTAAAAACAAGTTATGGAGAACTGATTCATCCTGTCCAGATAATATATCTACTGGAAATGTCCACTCCAAAAGGGGATTCCATTTCCATGATGCAAGTTCAGGTTCCATTTCTAAGGCGAAGGCAGGGGTTCCTCCTCAACTATTGAGAAAAACTGTTACAAGCAGAGCCAGCAGGAGAATAAAACTGTCCAGTTGATTTTTAGAATGAACTTAGCAATTCTGCATTTGCAGCACGCGAAGCAAGCGACACATTCAGGTGAAGAAAGCTCAAGAGAGTGTCAAGGTTTGGATTTTCAAATTAAGACCTTTTTGATTAATATTGCCATAGTAAATTTTGACCTATGCATCTGCTTAAAAATAAATACACGCAGCTCCATACAGAACAGCATTATAGGTCCTACCAGAATGCTAGTACTTCGATCCGAACCCAGCTGAACGGACTGGTTGCATGGTTGGCATTCGTCGGTTTTCCCATCTGTAACGTGAATACTACCCAGGTACTCCACGAAGGCCTCCCTTCCCTTAGGTAGGTAGCTATCGTGTGCTTTGCAATAGTTAAATAACCTAACCAATAGCACTATACTTTTAGGCTTTATTAAGTTTTTAATCGGCTAGCGTTCGATTGCAAGAGTTGATTCATTTTAAAAGTTAATAAAATTAACCAAGATTCCTTTTTTTTATTTCTTGTTTATTTTTATTTAAATTATTATTAACTTACTTTGCAGCAATTGCGCAAGTAGTAGAATAACTCGATTTCGCACTAAGTGAATTTAAGATCATACAACATTTTATTTATTTATATACATATTAAAGTTTTAATTGTGTTTTGGGCATGTAAGCTATTTTACCGCTATTGGAAGGCATAATGGAGGAAGGTGAAAAATTAACAGTGCTTGGAAGGCTATAAAAATTAGACTTTTTTATCCCTCCATAACATAGACATGAATGAATATAATAACATAATATTTGCAGCAATGAAGTATACAAAAGTTCTCGAATTTACAGCACTTAAAGCACTTTCGTCACAGCAGCTATTCAAAAGAAGTTTAATGAGAAAGAATAAGAAGAAAAATAAAGAACGTAACATCTACAAAAGAACATAGTAACACTTTCAACGAGTGGCAGGTGCCTAACTCGGATTACACACTGCCACGAACGTTGAAGAAAAACAGTTTACAGATTGAACCATCGTAACTCAGATTTGACAGACAACTGGCAAACTGCCAAATGCGTTCCCCTTTACCGAAAGCCGTAGGAAGTTTTTAGACATTTCCGAATCGACACGGGATACAGGAATGAGTTTCCTCTCTAACGAAGTGCACACAATTATTGTTCTTTGCTTTATTCCTTTTGTGTAATTCTAACATAGCTATATTGTACGGATCACACAATACTTAATACCGACATAATGAAAGCAGATAACAAGTGCACTGTGGGAAGCAACTTTTGATTCTGGAGAAAACTCCGATTCTCATTAAGCAGTAATACTCTTTTTTTCCAGATTAGCCTATACGATTTTGTTCCGCGGTAGCAATATCATTAATTACAATAACGTTGGAAAAGTTCAGGAATGTCCAACGGAAATACTATAAAATATTTTTTTTTTAATTACATCAGTCACATACACTATTAAACAAATTCAGAAATGGGTTTATCACTTCGAAACTGTTCAGTCTGTTAAGCAGACACAATTTAAAAAATAAATTAAAGATCTAATTTTTCGCGCAATGGCAACATTTCTGACATTGCATAGATTATAAATGCAGGCAAAAGACCTTAAAATAAAACGCTTGGAATATTTTGGAAAGACTCCGCTAAACTTTTTCGTCACGTTAGTACATAAGCACAGTACAAATAACCTAACCAGTTTCGATAGAATACCATCTAAAGTGGAAGAAAACGAAATTCATAAATTTTGAGCTCATAGTCGTTTCAGTTGGTCCTGTTCTTTCTGTTGTTCTTACTTATGCTTGCTTGTCGGCTCAGGCAAGACGTCGTCTTGCAATGCAGGTTCCCGTGCGGAGCGCTACCCCGTCAATAACATTGTAGCCGATTTTCTAACACATGAAAGTTCGAAATTTTTTTAAACACGGTCCATAAAAGTACTTGGGAACGAGCGACAATAAAAATCACATAAGAGTTCAGTAAAGATGTGAAACAAAATCTGAAACAGTCTTTCTAGCCGAACGAATCCAATAGCTAAGCCGGTCGAGACGCTTGGAAGTGAAGAGATGTGCAAGGTAAGTGCGCAAAAGAAATGCCTTTTATCACCAAAATCAGTGCCTCACAATTAACATGTATTATAAACATAAGACACATGAGTACAACAGATAATATATACTAGACACAAAAGTACTGCTAAATATAGCTACACAGAATAATGCACAATACAAAAAATAAGAGTACAGATTTTTTTTTTTTTTAAGTAAATATATACACTATTTACAAAATTTAAGGGAGGTGCCTGAGCTCCCTCTTCACTTCGCTTGTCTGGCAGTAACATCAGACCAAGCCCACGAAATTCCTTCGTGGCAAGGATCACAAAATACACCTGCCGTTAGCAGGTTTATCTTAGCTGCCGTTTTTATCACCTGCCGTTGGCAGGTTGTGTTCCTTACAGGTGGCAGTGCGACTGTGTGTTACAGGTGACAGTGCGACTGTGTGTTACAGGTGACAGTTACAGGTGTGTTTGCGTGTGACAGTTAAAAGTGACAGTGCGATTTGTGTGTTACAGGTGACAGTGAATATTATATAGTTCCGGCCCCAATTTTGATGGAGATTCCCCTGGGGGAGGAACGAGGGTCTCACGTTCTTTCTTTTTCATTGTATGTACTTCCCCTCTTATTCTTTTATAAATTACTCAGATGTTGAGTAAATATTCATTATCTAAATGTTCAATGTTTCAAACAAATTATTTACTTATTGTTACCGATGTTCTTCTGTTACCTGTACGATCGCTTGTATTGGGTTGAAACATAAGTAATGGCCGTTTTTATAATTTAAAAATGTTTATTTTAACAAAACAAAAAACAATTAGTCAATAATATCCGAGTTTTTGGACTTTCGAACTACAGTCACTTGGCTACAACCCATTCTCGTTCTGCTCATTCTCGAGTGGATTACGCGCGTCTTCGTGCAGAAGTTGATTCAAACGCTCTTCATCAAACTAACTGGGTCGTTCGGAACAAGCAGCGTCTTTGAAGTCGAAATTTCCACTTTTGAATTTGGCAGCCCAATTTCTTGCAGTTCGTTCAGGCATTGCACCTTCTCCATACACTCCACAAATCTCTCGGGCAGCTTTTGCAGCATTGGCGCTGCGATTAAAAGCAAAAGAAGGTGGGTGTCGAAAATACTTATTTTTGTCAACTTGACATTCCCTTTTAATGATCTAAAAAATGACAAAAATTAGCTCAGACCCCCCCCCTCCCAAAAAAAATCAAATACACCATCTTGTAGAGTAAAAGATTCTGCAAATAACACAAAACATTATGCCAATACATTTTATTTTTACCGCGTAATTTTAAACACAACATAAACGGCCATTACTAACCCAATACTTTCATTCTTTAGCTTTAATTTTCAGCTACGCACGTAAATGCTTCCCCTCTATTCCTT